GAGCTTTTTCTGTCATATACGCACAGAGGAGCTTTGCTTCTTCCTTCACTTCCCACCCTGGGTATCAACTGACTCTTCAAACCGCTGTGCTGCACAGAGCTGACACCGGTGGAGCTCTGGAAGCAGTCTTGTAGGGTCTGTTGTAAGACACCCTAACAACAGAAATAAACGTGCTGCCGCAACAGAGGCTTGGAAAAAAGTGAGGACTGAGAAAGCCCGAGCCCAGTCTGAGACATTTCTCCACCCCCTGCACCCAGGGAGGAGAACTTGGCTTCGGGACTCCTCCAACGAGCGCCGCTTTCAAACCTCCCTGTGCCCCTACAGTTTAGGAAGTCAGGGATTCATATCCAGCAACCAACCTTCTCAGCCTTGGACAAGTCTCATCACCTTTCAGTATCTTGTGCATGTGAAAAACAGAGATTGCACTCGATGTCCTTCCCCCTTTGTCTCCTCAAGCTGAGCCAGTCAGACACCCAAACTGCTTCAGCCCCAGTTCAGCGGGTCTGAAGGTGGCCAACAGGATGACACGGGGACTTGGCTGAAATTCAGCTCGTTGGGAAGGTGCATCTGGGAGTGTGGGAGGGGACGAGGGTCTCCTGATAATTATTCACCTCTGCAGTGAGGGTTTGAGTGAGTGCAGGAAAATGCTTCCACTGCAACCCTGCATCCCTGTGACAGAATCTGGGATTCAGGCATGAAAGCACCAGCTTACTTAGGCACATCTGTACTTACGTTCCTAGAAAAATATTTATTGAAACTTTCAAAATACCCATACCCTAAAATTACAACTTGTGCAAATGTGAAGATTTATTAACCAGGGAAAAGGTCAAAACCAAGCTGAACCCTATGCGGGAGCAAGAAGGGATAAAGCAGAATAACACATTAGGCGCTGGAACGTGACAACATGCAAACACATCCAAAAAAGGTGCAGAAATGCTTCTGAGCTGCACACATCACGTTTCATTGTGCCTCAGCTCTAGCATGTTCAGTCATCACAGCCCTGCACCACTCAGCAACACCTACCTAATAATATCTTGCAGGATGCTTGTGAGAGGTGTCTGAATCAATACTATGTGGCACCCAGTGAACACAAAAATCCACAAAAGCAAACAGTGACTAATGACTCTTACTCTGAGTTGTAACAGCGACTGTGATGAGTCAGGTCTTTGCTGATTTTGTATGTGTGGGGATTCCTGCACCCACCTCCAGCCCTTCGCTCACACTCACTGAGGGGTATCTCAGCTGTCCTTGGCCCCAAGCAGGCTGTTCCTAAAACGCTCCTTCCTCAAACTCCAAAAGATCATCGGAGGACAGGAACATCAGCCATTTCCCGGAGGCTCACAGACCACCATACAAACACAGCTCTGACAAAGCCTTTTGCAATTGCACAGTGGAATCGTAAAGCAGCAGAGAAGCCGTGCACAACCTCAAACCCATATGCCCTTTCAATTAATAATCACAAGCTCAATAATTAGCTGATTCTAACTGGCAATTAACTTTATAGGCCATTTGCAAGCCATGCACTCCCACTACAGCGTGTGATGTTGGCAGCTGTTGAAGACTGAGAAGGTAACCCGTGGGTCAGTGCCCATCACCCCTCACTCCAGCCTCACCTTTCACAGCTCTGCCCCTTCCACCTGGCTGCCTCCCACGGCAGGATCTGCCAACTCTGCTTTTTTTTTTTTTTTTTTTAAATCAGGTCAAAGGCACCTAAAATAACAGCCTCGTTTTGCTACCAAAAGGAAGTCTCTGCCCAGAGTGATTTACTGGAAAGAGATAGGCTACTCTTAAATATTTATCCCACACTGTTAAACTATTCACCTTTAGATCAGGAAACATGTTTCCACATTAAATCTTCATTTGATTATGATTTTAAAAAAACCTCATAGGGGAGATTTGATTCTCAGCATGCATTTGCTATTTCTAGGACGTAAAATACTTCCGTTCAGCTTGTTTTGCTGACATCTCTCCGCTCAAGCCAAGCAAACCTCTCCCTGTTTCTGAGCATGGCACGAGCTCCGATGAAGGCGATCCCGCACTGTTCTCCTAAAGCTACCTTAGAAATACGTGGCTCAGCTCAGCACGCTATAAGCACGATCCCATGAGCCAAACAAGTTTTTATCACGTGGTCTACACCTTTCGCTTGGAGGACACACAGAGGTACTCAGGGTTGGATGTTCCCATGGTCCGTACCTCCTTGAGCTGGCAGTCGAGTGGTATGAGGAGCCCAGGCTACTGGAGGTCCTCTGGTCATCAAGCAGGGCCACCCAGAACCTCCACCCAGGACCATGTCCAGGTGGCTTTTGAATATCTCCAAGGAGAGACTCCACAACCTCTCTGGTTTGTAGCCACCACAGTCTCCAACCACCTCCTGAAGGCAAAGCCAGATCAAGCAGAAAAGTGAGGTACTGCCACAGGAAGAAATGTTTGACCCACTCCCCGAAAGGGCATGAAGTCCAGCCCCAGACTCACAGCACAGTCCTCGGTGCACGCTCTCGTTCCTGCCACGGTGGACGTTTGCATGAGCATCTCACATGGGCTGCAAGCCCAGTCTTTAATGAGGGCAACAGCAGGAAGCCAGCAGGATGATGACTTCAGGAATGACCTCCATGATGGGCTCTCAGAGCTAGGTAAGCCCGAGCGCTGCCCACCCATGGCCCCAGCACGACCATCAGGGGTTCTTCCCCTGCACCCCACAGGTCCTGCGGGCCACCAAACATTCTGCAAGAATTAGCTAGCGAGTCGAGATTAAGTATGGGACAATTCCTTATTTAGGGATTCTGCACCCTCAAATAGCTTCAGAGGGTGTAGGAAAAAAACTTTAAAACCTAAAAAAAAAGGTTTCTGGCTGATAAACTGTGTAACTGTAACACAGGGAAGAGACGGGGGAAAGTAAGGAGGTCATACATTGCCATAACTGCAATAAAAATGAATTAAAATTTGCTGGCTTGTTCTCTGTTTATGCATACACACATACGTGTGCAAAAACATAAATACACACAAACAAAAAATACACACATCCAGAAAGACAACCCCAGATCAACACATGACCAACAAAATAAAGAGCAAATGTGTTGGATGGATGCACAGAGTTCACAGACTTCTGGAAGGGAGACCACAGCATGTAAAGGCATGATCTCCTGCATCCTCAAATAAAGCATGAGATCCAAGATTACTCAAAAAAAGAAAAAAAACTAGAAAGCAAGAAACAAGGAGGAACTATTTGGCATTAACTGGTACAGCATGGGAATTTAAAAAAAAAAAAAAAACAGGCCTGTTGAAGTCTGTATCAGCTTCCTTTCTCAGGGGTCATATCGCTTTTTCACTCTCTTCCAGGCATTCTTCTCCAAGTTCATCACTCTGATTTACCCCAGAAGCTGCAGAGCCAAGGGAAACGGCATCCTCCGGACCTCCTCTGACCTCCTTCCGCTGCGGCCAGCCGGGCAGCTGCCTGCCCGCACCGCCAGCCCTGTCTGCAACAGTCCTCCACCTCAGAGCCCACCTCGTTTAGCT